TTAGACCATTTAGGGAGTAGTTAGCAGTCTGTGAATTGTCAGTTTGTTGGTAATTTTGTTAATTTGTTCATTGTTGGGTGAAATAAATAAATTGCTTCTTTTTACTTGTAAAGTGGAGATCAAGGATGTTCTTTCTATGAAATACTCTTAATAGATTATGAGGGGAAAGGCAAGCTTCTCTGGGTGTTTAGGGAGTAATTGTTAGACAGAAACCTCTGCTCCTGTCATAACAGTTCGGGGCTTGTGTTTTAGTTCAATTATTAGAGGGGTTTGGCCATTCCATGTCGTAACACATTATGTCAGTTGTCTTTAGTGAGGGATGTCTGCTTGGTGCTGTCCTGTCAGATTCCCAGGAGCTGCAGTGATTGGGTCAGTGAATTGTCAAAATTGAAAGTTGAACGTGAGCAGCTTGTTGGACTATTTCAGCTCAACGCTCCATTTCATATCCCAGCTCACGATAACGGTTCTCGTTGCCTGGAGAAGTCACTTGTGTTCCACCTAAAGCTGCCTTTTGTCAGATAAACTTGTGTGTGGGGACGGAGAGCAGACGTGAGGCACATGGAGCGGGTATAATCCTGAGACATCTGTCATTCTCGGAGTTGTGATTGTGTATCTCCCTCTGTGGGTGGAAATCAGGATGAGTTCTTCAAGGGGGTATTAACACAATTTTACCATCTCAAAATTCAGTCCCATTTGTGGTCATTTGAGCTTTAGGGATAAGCTCATTGCCATTTGCTCTCGAAATGTCAGCACGCAAGGCTATGGACCAAATGCTAAAAACTGGGATGAGAATAGATGGAGGTTTGCTAATCTGCGCTGACACGATGAGCCGAATGGTCGTCTTCCACGCTGTAAAAACTCGAGGATGGAGAAACTGATCTGCAGTGAAAATGGTCACAAATGAAAATGCAAAAGCAGTGTCATTGCAAAAATGTATCACACCTTCTGCCCCTTTCACTGGTGGTCTTGTGGCTAAGATTTGGCCCTCTCCCCACCGTAGCCCAGCTTCGATTCCTAGTCAGGGAATAAACACTCTGCTGTGTTATTTTATCGTGGTGACAGCACTTCTAACCGATCCTTCAGGAGATGGAAGGTGAACTGTTTAGTCCCAGACGTTACTCAGATTAAAATAAAACAAAGAACTGTGGAAATGTGACACATAAAAGGAATTGATATGGAAGCTCAGCAGGTCTGGCAGCATCTGTGTAGAGAAACGAGGTTAACGTATCAGGTCCTGTGACCGTTCATCAGAATCAGGTTAGTTATGCATTTCTGCATTATAATGCCGGGGGAAATTATCGGCTTTACCAGTCAAATCATTGCTCTGTCTCACTAGCTTACAATCGTCAACTTTACAACTTTAAAGGGATTTCATCAGCTCTAATGCTGCTTCCGTTCCCCTCGGTGGTGAAAGGCTCTGCTTAAATGGTTCCTTTTTCTTTTCCTTTGTGTCAATTAGCAGCCATGTCGAATGGAGAATTGGTTCTTTCAGTGTCTACCTCAATTTATGTCTCTATTTGTCTCTCTGTGTATCCACCTCATCCCCTTTCACATTCTCCGACTCTCCTTCTGTCAATATCCCTTATTTCCCATTCCTGCTCTGTGTAAAGTCAGAAATTTGAAAATAATTTGAGATTGCAGCTGCTGGGAGGCTTTTTCCTCCTGGCTGGAGTGTCTAGAACTGCGTTCACATTGCCTGGATAATGTGTCTGTCACTTAGGACGGAGATAACGAGACATTTCTTCTCTAATAAGATTGTGAATCTTTAGAATTCGAAATAAAATTCCGAATTCGTCAGAATAAAAAAGTTCACCACAATTATAGGATTATAGTGATGGCTTTCCTGTTGGTGTAAACTGAACGAATGGCAACAGCAGAGAATGAGGGTGATCAGCTCGTTCTGTCTGTGCCATTACCACAACATTCCCCGCTGAATCTGCAGTTTATCCTGCCTCACCTCGCTATTCATGCCAAACTGGGAACGAAGTGATGAGAATAGAAGAAAAGGAGAAGCAGACGTGCTTGTGGAACAGCAGAAAGGAACTTCATGATGAATCTGACACAAAAAGAGGAGACACTGAAGCAGCCTCCTGACGACAAATGTGTTTTCTTTGCCAGTAAAATTCACCGCTTCACTAAGCGGGAACCATTGAAGTGAAGCATTGACGGTGATTATCTTTGCTGGTTGTTCACCTTGTGTCCACCAAACTATTGCTGCTGATGTCCCTGTCAACACCACAACCCTGCCACATGTAAGCATTGTGCTTACATGGGTCCAGTGGGACAATGGATAACATACCTAACTATGAATCAGGTGATTAGAGGTTTGACTCCGACCTGGCTCAAGTGTAATTCACCAATTCTTTTCACTTCCAAATTAATCTTCCTCATTGCCCTGAAACTGAGATGTGCTTTGAATTCCTGACCTGCAGGAACAAGAATTCTTTCAATGTCTCACATCAGTAAATATCACCAAGAATATCAGAGGAGAGGAAGCTGAAGTCATCCCCCAAGCTGCCGGGAATGGAAAGGAAATAAAACAAAAAATGAAACCAGTCTCAACTTTGTGAGTCTTTGGGAAGCTGAATCAGAGGAGAATGAAGGTGAACTTTCCAACTCAGCAGAGATAGTCGAGGAAGCTTCCCCTTCTTTAAGAGGCTGGGACATTGACTCTGATGTTCTTGGGGACATTAACTGACCTGAGACACTGAAAGGATTCCCGTCAGAGACTGCTCTGTGTTTGATTTTGTTACCGTCAGGAACAATAAATTCTGATTCCCTGACTGGAAATCGAACCCTGGCCACGTCAGTGAGAGCGCCAAGTCACAACCACTAAACTAAAAGGGTTGATAGTGGAAATGTGTGCTTATTTTCTACTGACACAGCACTTGGCCTTTTTACCCTGGAGATAAGCTTCTCGAAAATAATCCAGTTACTGAGTTTGTACAGCACAGAAAGAGACCCATCATCCCTGTTTCCAGCACTTAGCCTGTAGCCTTGTATGCTCTGACATTTCAAGCATTCATCTCAATGATATTTCCTTATAACGTTTTAATCTCAAGAGGCACAAAGAATGGGTTTGAGATTTGAGATAGTAAAATTGTATTCACGCCCCCTTGGGGAACTGAACCTCATTTTCACCCACAGACGGAAACTCACAGACACATTGCCCCAAGAGTGACAGTGGCCTCAGGAGAGACCAAGCCGCAGAAAGCAAGGCTTTCACCCATCTGTCTTATATCGTCCCATTTCAGACTTCAAAACCAGAGTCTGGTTACAGCAAAGAAAGGAGGCATTTGGCCCCTCCCCTGTCTGTGTTCCTCCCCCATTGTTTCCCCGTTACCCTGCAGAATCGCTTCACTGCATGTTACTGTTCCACATCAGCAATATCAGCTGCAATTGCCTGATGTGCAATCGGATTAAAATAAGGAGAGAGGGGAGGTCAGGAAAAGTGAAGGGCTATGGTGGTTTGTGAGAGCTGACTGTAGGCCTAATGGAGCCAGGCCCAATGTGGGTTCTGAAGACTGGTTTTCACTATTTACCCTGGTACACAGATCACGCCGGATCAATCACCCACAATGACTCTCCTTTGTGTGTTGCCCTTTGCACGTCTCACCTCGGTTCAGTGACCAGAGGGAATCCATGCATGTTAACTTGGCAAATTTCGCTCAGGTCAGCTTTACAGTCTCATATTAAGACCATAAACTTTCGGAGCAGGAAGGGACCATCCAGCCCATTCAGTTTGCCCCGCCATTTACTGATCTTTTATCTGATATGATAATCCTGAATGACACTTTCTTGCCTTTCGGCATAACCCTTGACACCTTTAATGATTAAAAATCTGTCGATCTCACCAGTGAATACACTTAATGACCCAGACCTGACAAGGCTCTGCTATAAGGAATTCCACCAATTCACCACCATCCGAGAGAATAAATGCTTCCTCATCTGTCTTAAATGTGCGAAATACATTCTAATATCAGGCACTCTGGTACAAGATTGCCCAAAAGGAAAGCCAGTTCTTTTGTGTCCAACATGTAAAATTTCGAAGAAACCTGTATGTTTCAATAATTATTTTTTGTAGTCTTATGTCTGAGCACGTGAAGTCAATGGATTTCAGCGCTTTTCTCCTGTTTAGTTTCATCCCTGACGTAAGACTTTCACTGATTCTGACAGAGCTGTCCCCGTTATGCATTTTAATGTCAGGAATTCACGTTCATTTAAGAGTTTGGACAGGAACAATAAAATCCTCATTCCTATTTGGGAATCAAACCGAGAACACAGCAGTTGCAATGCTGAATCCCAAAAAGGAAGGTGCACACAATACTTGCAACTTTTTGCCTTGCCACTGCTTTTGACCTGTTGCTTCAATTGCAAAATGATAGTCAGTGAGATTTTAACACCACAGAGCGAAACCTTTCAGCCCATTATATCTGTGCCAGTCATCAAACATCTCACTTCGAAACCCAGTTTCCAACAGTTGGCCCATCACCTCGTTTGCTCTGACGTTTCACGTGCTCATCCAAATAGGTAGTCAATGTTTTGAGGGCATCAGTGGAACTTTCTTCAGCAAACGACAGGAAACATCGTTGTTTGCTGCAACATGAAATCTATGTTTTCCTCTTTGAAGACAGTTATATAAGCCAAACTCTTTCTTGGAGCCATTTGCTCGTTTTCCTCATGATGCCAACAGTGTATTTTAAATCCCACACTGCCTGAGTTTGCCACTAATGACTCTCCCCTTTCAACCTCTCTGTTGACATGAGGTGTGGTGTCCCTCAGGTTAAACCACCACCAGTTTTGCCTCTGTAATGAGAAAGCAGCCCTGTGATCCAGAATGAGTAAGGCGACTCAGTGTCAGACTTTGTGATATTAGATCTCCGGGATGCAAACGTTTTATACTCTATTAAATGTATTATATATGAGTTTTCCTGGTAGGAAGTAAAAAGAAAGATTCCTTGTACATATCACGACAAATAAAATTCTTTACAATGGTGGGCACTTAACCCAGAATTCCGAGCGCATTTCATATCACTGCGCAGGCTCAGTATGTTCCCACGTGTCAACAGTCTATAGCATGCGCAGTCGGGCGATCCTGAGGAGCAGTGGGTGTTTTCTTCGGCTCCACAAAAGGTAAAAATGAGACGTAACGGAGGAGGCTATGGACAGCGTGGTAGACGGGGATGCTTACTAAACATTTCGTGGATGCGGCAGATCCCGCATAAAGAAACTATCTGTCCCCGTTTTACAAAACGGGACGAATCGAGGCTCCCTCTCAACGGCAGGCGGCGGGTAACGGCCGCCATCTTTGTAGGGGGTAAAGAGCAGCAGGGCGCATGTGCGATGACTCTGGGCCAGGGGAGAGAATGTTTCAGAGATAGTAGGAACTGCAGATGTTGGAGAATCTGAGATACCAAGTTGTAGAGCTGGATGAGCACAGCAGGCCAAGCAGCATCAGAGGAGCAGGAAGGCTGACGTTTCGGGCCTAGACCCTTCTTCAGAAAATGTTGTGAATGCCTCTCCTGGACTGACAGAAATGGAATTTATAAACTGTTTTACAGGGAGTGAGGAAGGGGGTGTTTATACACAGCAAATTCCAAATCAAACATATATTTCCTTCTTTTGAAATTTTATCCCAGACTGACTGTAATTTTATTTTACAGCATGTTAGAAGAGGATTTGCAGATCGGAAACTCAAACCAAATGATACACCAACATCTAAGTGAGCCACTTTATTTTTTATTCATTCAGTACTGGATGTTATTGGCCTTTGAATGTAAGTATTGAGTAAGATAAAAGTAACATAAAATTCCTTCCAGTAACTATTGCCCATTATCTTAAATCTGTGTCTTTCATAGTTTTACTATCAGTGAAGAGGAACAGCTGCTCTTTATCTACCTTATTTAAATCTATCATAAACCCAGGCACTTTATCAAATTTCAGTTTAATCTCCTTTGCTCTGTGCAGAACAACTTCAACCTGTTTCTCCAACGTGACCCCACCACTAATTTCCCTCAGTTCTTGAGCCATTCTGATTCATCTGCTTTCAAATCTCTCCTCAGACCCTCACGTCCTTCATGGAGATTACCTGTTTGTGCAAACCTAAATGCTCTGTGTTCAAGTGGGTGATGCTATGACACACGGGCAATTGCTCTGTGACATCACCCTGGTTGCCAGGTATTTCCTGAGCTGAGAGTTTACTCTGACCCCAGTGCTTCAGACTCTGGCATTTGATTTTAAAGTTGAACACAATGAAATTACTTCAATATTTTTAACCAGTAATCTACACAACTCAGCTTCTCGTGGTGTTGTCACTTATCTGACTCTGGGGGTAGTGCAACTCATTTTGTCACCCCTCGTTATGTGGCTGGTGTCAAAAACTCCCTTATAGCACCATCCATTGTGCTGGTTCATCTCTGCTCTCCCTGATCAACTCTCTGTCATTGTCTAACCTGCCCTGTCTCCTACAATGTGTGTAACTGTCTTGGGTATTTTCTTGTTACTTCCATTGACTCTCTAAATGAGATTTTTACAGCTTAACTATGCCTGAGCATTTGTTGATGGCAATTATCTTCCCTTAGTCGCTCCCACAATGCTGTTTGGTAAGGAGTTATTCACCAAGTGATGACGAAGGGATTGTGATGTGTGTCCAAACCAATGGCAATTAACTAGTATCAATATACTGCCCTTCACGTAATGGAAACTTCTAAACTGTTCCATGGGAGTGTTATAATGCAAGTTTTGACCCTAGACACATATTGAAATATTAAAGCAGTGACAAAACGTTTTATGGTCAAATAAGTTGTTTTCAACCAGTATTTTAAAGCACAAAACTGACATCAAGAGACGGAGAGGTTTAATGAGGAAATTTCACAGTTTGTGGCCTTGGCAGCTAAAGGTTGAGGGCACTAAATGTGGGACAGTTAAAATCAAGAATGCTGAGGAGGTTGAAATTTGAGGTAATACATAAATCTCAAAGGGCATTTTTAAAAATTAATTCTCGTGGAGTGGTGGTCACTGCTGGCTGGGTAAGCATTTACTGGCCAGCCCATATTGCCCTTGAGAGGGCTGGAGGCTGGAGGACATTACAGAGATAGATAGAGCAGACATGATCAAGAGATTTGAACAGAAGGATGAAATGTTAGCTGCATGAGCTCAGTGTGGTGGGTGAACCGGAGTTGGTGCGTATACTCTTGCAAGTAGCAGAGTTTTGGATGACCTCAGGATTACGTTACTTGGTGAATAACCTGCAGCTCCTTCCATTACAGTATTGTGGGAGCTTGTGTGTGAAGATCAAGCTGCTAAGACAGCATCCCATGATTAGGAGAATGGGCAGTGGTAAAAACCTCATTTGGATACAGTCAATGAAAGGAACGATAAAACACTGAACAGAGCCCAAGTACACCCATTAATAGAGGCAGAGGAAGTCAGACTAGTGCAGAGTGGGGAATGTGAGACAACAGTGGGGAGTACATCAGGATAGATAAGTCCAGAGGTAACAAAGGAATGGATAAGAGCTTCAGCAGCAGATGAGCAGAGACGAGGAGGAGTTGGGTGATGTTACTGAGTTGGAAGTGGGCAGTCTTGGTGATGACAGGGATATTTAATTGAAAACTCATCTCTGGGTGAAATATTTCACCATCGTTATGATGTGTTTGGTTCAGACTCAGGCAGTTGCTAGGGATGAGTTGGAGTCAGTTGTGAGGCAGTGGAGTTTGTGTTGAGGACTAAAGATAAAGGCCTCTGATTGGCCATTAGTTACTGGGAGGAAATTTCTGCTCCACCAAGACTGAATGTCAGAAAAGTCAGGATGGTGTGTGACCTGGAGGGAACTTGGAGGTGATGGTGTTCACATCCACCTGCTACCTTGCTCCTTCTCGATGGTGGAGGCTGAGTGTTTGGAAGATTCTGACAAAGTCCTGGTCAAGTTGTAGGTCTAAAATCCCTCTGTTTTATTCCCTACCTTCACACAGAAGCCAGAGTCTTGTGAGAGATTCACTCTCACTCTTCATTTTTTTTTTTTGTTTTTTTGTTTGATGTCAAATTCACAGGATAATGGACAGGGAAGATTTACAAACTATCACGCTATGATCTGATGGAATCATCCATTTTATCACAAATGGTAATTTTTTTAACATGGAAGGAAAATACTCTGTTCACAGTGGAGAGAAACTGTATAGGTGTGGTGTGTGTGATCAAGGCTTCAGCCAATCGTCAGACCTCAGAAGCCACAAATGTAGTCACACTGGGGAGAAGCTGTGGAAATGTGGGGATTATGGGGAGGAATTCATTTTCCCATCTGAGCTGAAAACTCATCGCAGTTACACCAATAACAGGCCATTCACCTGCTCAGTGTGTGGGAAGGGATTCACTCAGTCATCCAACCTGCTGCAACACCCGTTTGTTTGCACTGAGGAGAGATCATTTCAATGCCTGGACTCTGATGAAGGCTCCCGACCCGAAATGTCGACTTTCCTGATGCTGCCTGACCTGCTGTGTTCCTCCAGCTCCACGCTGCACTGATGGTTCTTTGAACCTCGTTTGGTACTTTGTTGGTGTTTCTGCTGATTGTGTCTAAATGAGGTATCCATTCCTTCCCATCTCTGGTTACATGCTGCTGATTTTCCAGCTTTATCTTCCCATGGTCAGGAATTTTGTGTTCTGCCCTAGAGATCGTTTCTGTTTCTGAGGTAATATTGACTATCAAATACTTGTTACGACATAAGGATAACAATGCAAAACAAATTAGTCTCTCAATGAAATTTAAAATATTGAATGACCGTCAAAATTGCCCTGATGCTCCTAACCAGACTGAATAACCGATCATGGGCATCGAATTTCAAGAAAGAAGAAATAAGAATTTCTTGAGCAAAACAAACGCAATCAACTAGGCAGTCTAATCAATATCTGTGATTTAAACACAACCTTCTTCTTATATAACCTCCACTCTCTCCGACTCACAGGCACACATAAGGAATATACTAAACAGAAAATAAAATTAATGTAAATTGCTAGTTCAATTAAACAGTTTCAAACAATGGATATCAAGCCTTTGTGCAATCCTTGGGTAATGAGTTGTTCACGGACATGTAAAAGTTAATCAAATTTCAAAGTCAGCAGTGAATGTAACAGTTTTGGCAAATTTCCCTAAATATTCTCTTATTTCCTACGTTGCCTTTCTCAGAGCATTCAACAATCTGATAATTGGATAGAAATTGAGAGATCGAGCAGCCCGTCCAAAAGCTTCCAAAATCACTGCTCTTCCTTGACCTTCTTGAACTGCTGCAGTCCATGTGGTAAAGCTGTTCGCAGATTGCTGTTCGGTAAGGAGTTTCAGGATTTTCATTCAGTGGTGATAAGGTAGTGCCGATATCTGTGTTAGTTACAGTCATTTTTGTTCTAATATCCCACCTTTAACAGAATAGAAACATGGAAAATAGCAACTGGAGCAGGCTATTGTGACATTCGATCCTGCTGTACTATTTAGTGTGATCATGGCTGATTGTTCAACTCGTAGCCTGTTCCCACTTGAGCCCCATATCATTTGATCACTTTAGCCCTCAGAACGATATGTTCCTGTTGGCTTTAACTGCTTTCCATGGCAGCATATTCCACAAGCTCACCAGTCTCTGAGAAAAGAAATCTTCCCTCATCTCGGTCCTAAACAGCATACCCTATATCCTTAATCCATGATCCCCTGGTTCTGGACTCACTCGTCATTAACAGTCTCCTTCCTGTATTTAACTTGTTAGTCCTGTTAGAATTTTATTGGTTTCTGTGAGATCTTGCCGCAAAATTCTAAACCCCAGCTCGTCCTATCTGATCTAATCTGTCATAATATGTCAGTCCTGCCATCTCAGGATTCAGCCTGATAAACCTTAATTGGACAGCCTCCATAGCCAGATCATCCTCAGTCAGATAAGTATTCCAAAACTGCACACAATGCTCCAGGTGCAGTCTCACCAAGACATCCCTGTTCCTGTTCTCGAATCCTCTCGCTATGCAGACCAACTTAGCATTTGCTGCCTTCACTTCCTGCCTGTACTTGCATGCTTACTTTGAGTGACTTGTGTACAAGGACAAACAGGTCTCAGTTCTCATTTCCCTTTTCTAAATCCAAGCTGACTGACTCTGACTCTGTCCAATCCTGTTACTGTTTTCCAGTGTTGGATTAACTGGTCTATAAGTCCATGTTTTCTCTCCACCTCCTTTTTTACATATTGGCTTACATTAGTTCCCCTTCAATCCATGGGAGCTAGTCCAGAGTCTATAGCATTATGAAAGACCCGTTAATTTCCTCAATTTTTAGATTCAAGCCCCTAGTTTCAGAGTGCATCCGCCAACTCTCAGGCTACTTTAAGTTCTCTGGGGCGTACATTACCAGGTGTTGGGATTCATTGGCTTTTAATCCCGTTAATTTCCCCAACATCGTTTCCCTATTAATACTGATTTCCTTCACTTCGTCTCTCTCGTGTTCCCCAGCATTTTAGGGATATTATTGATGTCATCATTTGTGATGATGGAACCAGAATATGTAGTTAATTGGTCTGTCCATCTCTTTATTCCACATTCTAACTTCCCCTGTTTCTGATTGTACGGGACTTGTTTTCATTTTTTTTCTCTTCACATCCTTTTTGCGCTTTTACAATTAGTTTGTATGTTCCCCGCAAGCTTACCCTTAGACTTTATTTTTCTCTTCTTAACCAATCCCTTAGTCCTCTTTTGCTGAAATCTGATCTGCTCCCAGTCTTCAGGTCTGCTGCTCTCCTTAGCCAATTTTTACGCCTCTTCCTTGGATCTGGTACTATCCCTAATATCCCTGGTTAGCCATGGCAGGGTCGCCTTTCCCATTTTTTATTTTGTGCCCCACAGGAATGAACAACAGTTGCAGTTCCTCCAAGTGCTCTCTAAATATTTGTCAACCCCCTTAAAGCTTAAGTTCCTCAAGTTATTGTAGCCTTTAGATTTTGGCCCCTAGTCTCAGAATCATCTCTATAACTCTCCATCTTCATGAACAGTTCTATCATGAAGAAGTCTTCACTTTTCCACAGCTAGATTGCCAATTAATCCATTCTCATTACACAATTAAAATTTTGAAATAAAGTTGCTGTGGTTCCAGAAGATCGTCGGATTGTTCTGTCTGTCTCTTGAGAGAGAGAGAGACGACGAATGGTGCTTTAACCTCAGGGTTACCGTGCCTCAGTCAATGGGCAAGGTTAAGATGGTGGGACCTTCATGGTGACCTCAGCTGGTACAGGAAGTGAGCACATGCTGCTGGTGTCACTCCGCATTACAAACCAGCTGTCCAGCCAACTGAGCTTACCCGGCCCTGGTCATTACACAATACACCATTGAGGATGGCCTGTCTTCTCTTCGGGTACTCAATATGTCGATCTAGAAAACCATCTCGTACACACCCCAGGAATTTCTCCTCTATGGTATTGTTCCTGATTTGATTTGCTCAACCTATGTGCTGATTGAAGTCACCCATAATAACCATAGGAGCACAAGATAGAGGAGCAGAATTAGTCGATTCGGCCCATCAAGACTGCTCCATAATTTGATTGTGACTGATATGTTTCTCAACCCCATTCTCCTGCCTTCTCACATAACCATTGATCCCCTTACCAAAGAACCTTTTTATCTCTGTCACAAATATACTCAATTACTTGGCCCCCACAAACTTCTACAACACTGAGTTCTACAGAATCACCACTCTTTGGCTGAAGAAATTCTTTTTCATCTCAGTTCTAAAGGGTCATCCCTTTGCTGAGAGTGGTGCCCTCAGGTTCAAGTCTCTCCTGCTAGTTGAAACATCTCCATGTCCATCTATCCAGTCCTCTCAGTATTCTGAAAGTTTCAATCACATAGAGCCATAGGGTCTGACAGCATGGAAGCAGACCAATAGGTCAAACTAGTCCATGCTGACCATGTCCCAAAACTAATGTAGTCCTATCTGTCTGCACATAGCCCATGTCTGTCCGAACATATCTTATGTATGTATTATCCACACATCTTTTAAACATTGTAAACTGTACCTGTATCCACCACTTCCTCTGGAAGTTCTTTCCACACACGAACCACACCCTTGGGAAAAAGTAATGGTTGCCCCTCATGCCTTTTCTCAATCTTTCACCTGTCACGTTAAAAATATGCCCCCTGGTCTTGAAATCCCCACCCCAGGGAAAGGACACTTGCCATTCAACTTATCTTTCCCCCTCAGGATTTTACATACCTCCATAAGGTCAACCTCAATGTGCCACACACCTGTTAAAGGAGTCCCAGCCTGTCTTTATGACTCCATCCCTCTATTCTCAGCAACATCCTGGTAAATCTCTTCTGAACTCTCTCCAACTTAATAATATCTTTGCTATAACAGGAAACTGGACACAGTACTTCAGAAGAAACCTCACTGATGTCCTGTATAACCTCAACATGACGTCCCAACTTCTGTACACAATGGTCTGAGCAATGAAGGTGAGCATACTAAACACCTTCTCAACCATCCTGTCTATATGTGATGCAAATTTCAAAGAATTATGTAACTGTAACCTTAAAGTCTCTCCGTTCTACAATATCCAAGGCCCTACTTTTAATTGTATAGGTCCTGCCTCCCTTGTTTGTTTTACCACAATGCAGTATCCTTGCATTTATTCAAATACAACTCCATCTGTCACCCCTCAGCCCATAGGCCCAACAGATCAAGATCTCTTTGAAATTTTTTTAACCTTCTTCACTGTCCACTGCAGCATTAATTTTGGTGTCATCCACAAAGTTATAAACCATGCCTTCTGTATTCTCATCTAAATCATTTATACGAATGTCAAACAAAAGTGGACCCAATACTGATCCCTGCAGAACACCACTGGTCACTGCTGAACACCAGGCCTTCAGTCAAAAAACAACCCTCCACTACCACAGCCTCCTGATGTTAATCAAATCTTGTATCCAATTGTCAAAGTCACCCTGGATCCCATTGTAAGCTAACTTTACTAATTAGTCTACCATATGGAACTTTGTCAAAAGTTTTATTAAAGTCCAAGTAAACAATATTTACTGCTTTGCCTTCATCGATCATCTTGGTTACTTCACCAAAAATCTCAATCAGATTTGTGAGACACAATTTCCATCGCATGGAACCATGCTGATTATCCATAATCATGCCTTGCCTCTCCAAACGCTATCTTTCAGAATCACCTCCAACAACTTATCCACCACCAAAGTCAGACTCTCAGATCTATAGTTCCCAGGCTTCTCCTTACATCTGTCAAATGAAGGCACAACATTTGCCACTCTCTCGTCATCTGGCACCTCACCTGTAGTTATAGATGATAGAATATTTCTGCAAGGGGCCCAACATTTTCTCTTTAACTTTCCACAACATGATGGGATGCACAAGAGCAGTTCGTAAGATTTAGAGTCAGAGTAATACAGTGTGGAAACAGGCCCTCAGGCCCAAACTGATCCATGCTGACCATGGTGCCCATTCAGCTATTTCCAATTGGAGGTTTGGTCCATTTCCCTCTTAAACCCTTCCCATCCATGTACCTATCCAAATGTTTTTTAAATGTTGCTATTGTACCTGCCTGAACCACTTTCTCTGGTAGCCCATTCCCTATATGCACCATTCTCTGCAGGAAGAAGTTTCCCCTCTCACCTTAAACCTATGACCTCGAGTTTTCAATTCCCCATCCCTGGGAAAAAGACTATATGCATTCATCCTACCTATGCCCCTCATGATTTTATACACCCCAATAAAGTCATCCCCTCATTCTCTGACATTCCAGGGAATTAAGTCCTATCCTGGCCAACCTGTCCCTACAACTCAGGCCTAGTAGTCCTGACAACATCCTAGTAAATCTTCTTTGCACACTTTCCAGTTTAACTATGTCTTTCCTAAAACAAGGTGACCAAAACTGCACACAGTATTCCAGTGCGGCCTCATCAATAACTCATACACCTGTAACATAACATCCAACTCCTATACTCAATGCCTCAACCGATGAAGCCAGCATGTTAAATGCCTTCTTCACCTCATTTGTCTATTTGTGACACTGGTCGCGACAAACTGTGTACTTTTACTCCTAGGTCCCTCTGTTCCACAACACTCCTCAGGACCTTACCATTTACTGTATAAGTCCTATCTTGGTCTGATTATCCAAAGTACAACACCCCACACTTAATTATGTTGAATTGCAGTTGCCAGTCCTCAGCCCACATCCCCATCTGATCAAGATCTTGCTGTAATTTTTGATAACCTTCCTTGCTTTCAACAATACCTTCTAATTTTGTATCATCCACAAACTTACTAATCATGCCTTGTACATTCACATCCAGATCATTTATGTAAATAACAAAGATCCCACACCTACCCCTGTGGCACGCCACTCGTCACAGGCCTCCAGTCTGAGAAACAGCCTTCAACTATCACCCTCTGCTTCCGACCATCAAGCCGATATTGAATCAAATTAGCTAGCTCTCCCTGGATCCCATGCGACCTAACCTTCATGAGTAGTCTGCCGTGCGGGACCTTGTCAAAGGTGTACGAAAGTCCATATAGACAACATCCACTGCCCTGTCCTCATCTATCCTCTTGATTACCTCTTTGAAAAACTCTAAAAGGTTTGTCAGACATGACATGCCACACACAAATACATATTGACTATCCCTAATCAGACCTTGACTATCCAAATGTTGGTTGATCCTGTCCCTTGGTATTCTTTCCAATAACTTGCTTACCACTGATGTCAAGCTCACTGGCCTGTAGTTCCCTGGATTGTCTTTGCTACCTTTCTTAAACAATAGAACAACATTAACCATCCTCCAGTCTTTCGGAACTTCACCAGTGGCTAGAGATGAAACAAAAATCTCTGCAAGGGCCACTGCGATTTTTTTCGCTAGCCTCGCACGGTGTCCGAGGATGGATTTGATCAGGCCGAGGGGATTTATCCACCTTAATGCGCTTTAAGACTGCAAACACCTCCTCTCTGCTAATGTGTATGTGCCCTTTTTTCCTCAGCATCCATGAATCTCTCCTCAGTAAACACGAAGGAGAAACATTCATTAAAAATCCCTGCGGTCTCCAATGGCTCGTGTGAACTGTTTTCAAAATGCCGTATTTCTTTCCCTGAGTTCTCTGGCCTCCATTTCTTTCTCCACAGTTAAAACTGATACAAAATATTCCTTTGATATCTCTCTCATCTCCTGAGGTTCAATACAAAGATGACCTCTTTGATCTTTACAGGGCCCTTTTGCTCTCTTGCTCTTGGAATCTCTTTGGATTATCCTTAACCTTATCTATCAAGGCAATTTCATGTTCCCTCTTTGCCTTCCTGATCTCCCTTTTAAGAATGCCCCTGCGCTGTTTATACCGTTCAAGAGATTCATTTGAACCCAGTTGTTTATCTCTAATACATGATTATTTTTTACTCTTGACTAAAACCTTTTTCATTCATTGTTTTTTAATCCTACCAGTCTTACCTTTCACCGTAACAGGAACATAATGACTCTGAAGTTTCGTTATCAAACTTTTGAAACCCTCCCACTTATCAGATGTCCCTTTACCTGCAGTCTACTTCAGTCAACTTTTGGAAGTTCTTTTCTCATGCCATTAAAATTTGCCTTACTCCAATTAAAACTTAAACTTTTATGGAAGGCTTATCCTTTTCCATTACTGTTTTAAAACTGATGAAATCACTATCACCAGACCCTAATGGTTCCTGTACAGTCACTTCAGTCAGTTGCTATGCCTTATTAACCAAGAGAAGCTCAAGTTTTTTTTTCCTCTTTCTTTAGAAGGTACACTGACTTATTGATAAAGAAGATGTTGTTGTACGCATTTAACAAATTATTCACCATCCCAACCTTTAACACTATGGCAGTTCCAGTCAATGTCTGGAAAATCAAATTCACAGACCATTGCAACTTTCCTTCTGACTATTGGGGGACCTATCGTACAATCCCATCAGATGATTATTCCTTTCTTATCTCTAACTTCAACCCACATGTTTTCACTGGATGATTTTTCAGAAATATCTCTCCTAGTTACAGCAATAATGTTTTCTTCAATAAGAAGTGCCACTCCTCCTATTCGCCTCCGTTTCATACCCATCCTATCGCTCCTGAAACCTGGAACACTAGTATGGGCAAAGTATCTTGCAGGCTGTGTATAATGCAGGAAAATGTGAAATCATTCACTTTGGCAGGAAGAATAAATAAGGGTAGACTATTCCTTAAATGGTGAATGACTGCAGAATTCTGAGATGCAGAGGGATTTATGGTTTATAAAATATGAGTTACAAAGTTAGTATGCAGATATGGCATGTAACCATGGTGTCAAACAGCATGGTAACAGACCCAGCGGTCCAATTAGTCCACACTGAGCATGTTCCCAGACTGAACTAGTCCCATCTTCCTGCATTTGGCCCACATCATTCCAAACTTTTCGAATTCATGTACTTATCCGAATGTCTTTTAAACATGGTAACTGTGCCCACATCCACCATTTCCTCTGGCAGTTCATTCCACACACTGACATTCTCTATATTAAAAAGAACATTGCTCGTCATGTCTTTTTTAAATATTTCATCTCTCATCTTAAAAATATGCTCCTTAGTTTTGAACTTACCCACCTGAGGGAAAAGTCCTTTGCTTATTCGCCTTATCTATGTCTCTCAGGATTTTATAAACCTCCATAAGGTCATGCCTCAACCTCCTACTTTCCAGTAAAAGAAGTCCCAGCTTATCCAGCATACTTTTATAACTCATACTCTCCATTCTCGGCAATATCCTGGCAATTTTGTTTCTGGACCCACTCCAGGTTAATAATATCCTTCCTATAACAGAACAACTAGAACAGTACACAGTACTCCAGATGAGGCCTCACCAACATCCTTACAAACTCAACATCCCAACTCCTGTCGTCGAGGCCTGAGACCTGAAACCCTAGATCTCTCTGTCCTGCAACACTACCCGAAGTCATACCATTAATTGTGTAAGACCTGTCCTAGTGAAGTATTGCATTTTGGTAAAACAAACATTTATCCAGGTAAAATTCAAACTGCCAAACCTCAGCCCATTGACCCAATTGATCGAGATCTCTGTTATCCAGACAGCCAATATGCTGTATACTTTTATTATGACAGGAATTAAACATCAGTGTAAGGATGTCTGCTTCATTTGTACAGGGAAGGAAGGAGACTAAATCTCAAATACCATGTACAGGTTTTGGTCTTCTGTAACTTTATTTGAAGTGATTCAGAGGAGGTTTACTAGATTGAAACCTGAAATAAGTGGGTTGTTGAAGGAGGATAGATTGGGCAGACAGAAAGGAAAAGGACCAGGTGACAACTGCTGATTAAAACAGGAAATTAATGTGATGTGAGGCAGGATATAGCGTCTGGTGAAGTAGAATCTGTATGGGTTGAGCT